GGTGAGTTTTTTTTTTTTTTTTTAATAATAGCAATAGCATCATAGTATAAGTATAATTTTGGGGGCTTTCTTAATGTCCTATATCCACCAGGCTGAAGCATAGTTTCTCCAAATACCTTTTGCTGAACCCAATGTTGGGATTCAATACAGGACAAGTGGTATGAGCTAAGTGAACCTGCTGTCTGCGGTACTGGATTTTTAAAATGCATATAGCAAGTCACTGAAGTGGTAAAATTAATTCTGGATTTAAGCTTTGTTACAATATTGCAGGCAGAATGCCATGGGCAATGAAGGTTTACGGGCCTATATTTTTCCCCATGAATAAAAGAGACTTCTGCTGAGAAGCAGATCTGTATTAGAATTAAGAATATAATACTTCAATCTTCTAAATCAGGAGGAGTTTCCAAAATCTCACTTAGGTTCACAATCTAAGATAGAGTTCTCTGGTACTGCCATGACTTTCTAAGTTAGATGTCTTTTTTCTGTTTGCAGAAAACACACAGTGGGCCAACAAACTTTATGGTAGTTTAGAGGTACCCTATATAGAGGCACAACAGAGTCATGAGACATGATCTAAGGAAAGTTCATTCTGCCTTTTCCCTTTCTTGTGTGATTATTGTTCTATGTCGAGTTGTAGTAAAAAGTAATACAATTTAAAGTGGGAAAAGATTTTTTTTTCCTTCAATTGGCATAAAATTTTTTTTTTCCTCAAGAAAGCTAAACTTTTGGTGGAATGAAAACTGAATTTGAATGCCATCTCCATTAAACTAGTTACTAAGTGACCTTGAGCAAGTTACTTAAGGCTATCATCTCAAATGCAAAACAGAAGAATAGTAGAAATGACTGGTATGCTGTGCTACTATAATTAAGACATGTGATAATGAATAAAAAGTTGTTATGTAAACAAAAATGTGTTCCATAAATATGAGTGTTATTTCCAAGTACACACTTTTTTTTTTTTTAATTACTAAGTAACCATATGTCTTTGTTGAGTATGCAATTTACCTCCTAAACCAAGCAGGAAAACTTGTAAAAAACTTTAGCACGAACAATTTGAAATACAAATTCTCCCTTGGAGAACTTTTAAAAAAAATGTAAGTGAGGAGCTCCGGTAGTGTAGTGCCTAAGGCACTAGTCTGCTAACCAGAAGGCTGGCTGTTCAAACCCACCAACCATTCATCAGAAAGAAGATTGGGCAAACTACTTCCATAGTGATACTGGCTTGGAAACCCAAGGAGGGGCTGCTATGAGTCGGGTTCAACTCAACGGCACATACCAACAACAACAACAATGCCATTTTTCTTTGTACATGATGTATCATTTCAAAGGGGTTGATTTGTATATGTCCAGTTCTATGTATTGTGTATTTTAGTGTTATCCAAAGGCTGGTGTATCCAGTGGTCTATTTTAGCGGCCAGAGGTAGGTGGGGTTTTGCCATAGTATCTGTTATGGGGGAATGCCTTAAACATACATCTCATTAAAGATAAACAAAATAAAAAACACAGATGATTAAATTTTAAAGCTTATATCCTCTCCAAAATGGGGCTGTACAATAGGTGTATTTCCCTAAAGATTTGTTGTTGTTGTTATGTGCCGTCGAGTCGGACCCGACTCATAGGGACCGCTCCTTGGGTTTCTGAGGCAGTATCGCTACAGAAGTAGATTGCCTCATCTTCCTTCCAAGAAGTGGCTGGTAGGTTTGAACCACCTGCTTTCTGGTTAGCAGTCAAGTGCCTTAGGCACTATGCTACCAGAGCGCCTTCCCTAAATTTATCTTTTTCCCTTAAAGATATTACCTTCCAAAATTAATTTAAAAGGGATGCTTTATCTAAATTTCATTGTAAATGGTTTGCCTCTCAGATATGAAATATGAACTGATTCTTCTGAATAGGAATTCCTGAAGACCGCTGTTTCTGGTCTTTGGATTCTTGGGTGTATCTCAACCTTCTTTGAACACCAACTTTGTGTCAGTCAGTGTATCAGGCAATAGTAGGATTTGCTTACAATTTAGGAGAACTCAGTATTTTGCTTACCAAAAAAAAATCAAGCTCAAATCTTGATGAGCCTCAGTTTCTCTATCTCTACAATATTGCTAATATTAACTTCTGTTTCTATAGGATCATTGTGTTTTGTAAACAGTTATTTCACCAAGACATTCCGAAATACTACTACTAATAATAATAACAATAATAATAATAGAAAAATGCCATGCTATGAAGATCCTAGGATGGAACACTTCAGTAGGTGAAGTTGGTTCTGTTTCCAGAATTGCTTTTGTAAAATGTTATTTTGTATAAGAGCTCTTATTTCCTTTTTTCTAGTTTTTTTTTTTGTTGTTGTTGTTGAAGATACAGATAACTATTTGAAATATTTCAAATATAAAATATATAGAAAACAAAATCCTTTTCCCGTGAATTCCACAACTCTGAGTTAATCACTGTTAACATTTTGATGTGTTTCTCTTCACTATGTCTCCCTGATTAGTCTCACTTGAGGAAAAGTACCCCTTCAGTTGCAAGATGTAGGTTATCACATCCAATCCTACGACCAGCTGCTGTTAGGAGCAGAATGATTGAAATCAGAAGGAAGTCTGAAATCTTCAGCACCCGGGACGCAGCAGGAGTCCTAAGGGCCCTGAAATCTCTTTACAGTCCACGTTTGCTGGTTAAGACGCTTGCAATGGCATTAGGGGCTCAGGATACATTTCTGGACACTGCTCACTCCTGGTGTCCTTCCACCCGAATAAGGCGGATCATTATGCATTTTTAATTAAAACAGTATTTTAAATGCCCTCTCAAGAGCGCCTTTCTTCTAAACACTGTTTAATCCCGTGAGGATCACCTGCCTACTAGTCTTTCCTAGTGAATTCGGTCTCACCTCTCAGTGAGGACGCCTGTTCAATTACTGGCAGATTAGATCTCCCCTCACCCCCCGCCCGGCCCTGGCCATCCTCAGGAGAGGGGGGAATAGATGACCAGCCCGGGCCGGTGCACAGCCCGGTGACCCGAGCACGCGGGGCAGCTGCCGGCACCCCCCCTCTCCCGCCGCCGCCTCCAGCGCGAGTGACAACGCGCGCTCCGGACTGGAGAGCGGCGGCGCCGAACGATCCCGGGTAGGGCTCGCCTCGCTGGTGACATCACTCCTGGAGCTCACTCCTCGCTCTCAGCTCGAGTCTTCGCGAATCGTCAGTCCGTTTGTCCATCTCCGCCAGTGCGCGGCTGGAGGGGGCTCATCTCTGGCCAGGGACAAAGCCGGGCGCGGGGACCGACAGGACCTGGAGGAGGCGAGAGAGCGAAGGCAGCGAGTGAAGGAGGACCCCGGCAGGCGACAGCATGAAATTCAGCCCAGCGCAGTACTTGCTGCCTCTCCTGCCGGCGCTGGTCCTTAGCACCAGGTAAGTCCGGGAGCGCGAGTGACCTGAGTGACGGGCGCTGCCTTGTGAGGTTGTAGGTCACCGCTGGCGGCCAAGGACAAACACTTCAGCTGTTTGCATCTCCCGCCTAAGTTAGAGGGTCTGTCTGTGATTTGGGCTCTGCAGTCCTTCAGGGGAGAGCAAAGCCCTCTTCTAGTTAAGCCAGTACCTTGAAGAAAGTCTTGGGACTGCTCTCACTGTAGAGACTAAGTAAGACATTTTTCCTTCTAAAGATAACGTGTTTCTCTTTAGCCCTAGTAGTAGCCAACGGAGAACATGTAGGTAACAGAACGATAAAAATAAATGAAAGAAATAGAGGAGGAGGGAATCGTCACCAGTGTCTTTATGGTGGAATTGTCTTAATAGTCACAGTGCTCCATCCCCCCAAGTGTGTTTGATTCTAAGGAGTAGAGAACCAAACAAGACAGATTGACCCTGGACAATTCAAAATGTGCAAAAGTTCTGGGACTCCCGAAATGACCTGTTTTAAAGTCTTGAGTCGGCTTAGAGGTGAGAGAATCTTGCGTTTTCTTTTGGCTGTCATGTGAGCAGGTCCGATTAAAGAGCACACGAAGCGATTAAAAGTTAGAAGACACTCTGAGAGTGCTGGTGCAGAGACCCTACTCAGAAACAATTAGGTACTGTGCTTCATCACTGGCTGCAGAGGGGACTTTAAGCCAAGCACAGAGGAGCTATTTTTAGTGGAGGTTTAAAATGCAGTGATTGAGAGGAGTTTGTGACTCCCCGCTGTTGATCAAGTCCCAAAGTTGGTGATGGGCCTGCTTTCTTCTTCCACAAGAGCAGCACAAAGGTGGACTGTTTGCTTGCCCAGGGCTGTCTTTATTCTGCATGCCCTTCAGTATCATACTGGCAGAAACTTCTTTCCCTTGGCTACTATAAAATAAAATAACCCACACAAGATGAAGTTCTTTTCAAATTTACATGAACAGAATCATCTGTCGTGTATGCATTGGGACATGAAGGAGAGAAATTATGTTATATCTAATTCTGAAATTAAGAAGGATGAGGAAAACTCACCATCACTGTAGAATGAGACAGTAGAATTCTTGACTCCATTCCTTGTCCACAAACTTCTTTCAGTCCCATGTTGCCAAACTTTACTTTCAGTGTGGGAATATTTGATGTAACCTCAATGGTGGATAAATTTAGTATCTCCTTGCACATAAAGCCCAGGTGACCTCCCCAAGTTAAAATGTAATGTGAGTTATATTCTTTATTTCCGCTAAATTCGCTTGCCACTTTGTTTCATAAAATTTGGAAAACTTTACAGAAAAACACTTGATACCTCAGTATCATGATAACTTGTTCCAATCACAGAGAACGTTTTAAGATTTGTGGTAAGCTCTAAGCAGCTCAATGCAAATTGTTTATCACAGTTATTCTTTGACACTTCTGGCCATTCACTCTGAACTCCTGTGTTGTGGATTAATAATTATGTGTGGAGTTTTCTAGAGAAAGCAGCTTTTTAAAGTTTGGGCACTTAAGTAGATCCTTGTCAACATAAGAATAAAATACAAATACTAAATTATTTAAATAATGGAAACTAGCTCAGAGTAGTTTTAAAGATGAAAATTCCTAGTGTTTCAAATATACATTTGCTTTTTAAACATACTGTAATTAAAGTGTCTCAGTCAGCTTGATAGTCTAGCTTCCCAAGTTTTAGTGTTGATTACATAAGACAAGGACAAAGAACCAACCCATTCCTTCTTATGAAAATGTTAATTTCTATGAGGATAAATCCTTTAAAATAGTCAACATATTTCTTAGAACAATAATTAGAGTGGTAACCCTTAGTTAACTTTATATTTGAAACTTCTACAATGTTCATTGTATGTGAAAATTGTGACAGGTTCTTTTTTTAACTGACTTTCAGTTGCTGAGTCATCAGAAAGAACACGCTGGTGTTGAAAAAGTGAAACCTTCCTAATGAGTGCATGTCTTGTTAATGTGATTATTCTGTGGCAATTTATTTTACTGGATGCTCAGAGTTCTTTGTGACTGTTAGCAAATTTCAAAATTAATATGGTACTCTCAATATGTCATTTTGTAAGAAGAGATTATATTTTTTTAAACAGGTTATTGTCTTTGCAATATTTGAGTTTTTGTCAGCATATGGTTAATGAGCAGACTAAAGCCTAAACAGAACAGGTTTGCAAGAACAGTTGCATTAGTAGAGGTGAGCTTATTTTCCTGCTGGGAACAACTGTGTAGCTCAGCCATGGCCACCTGTGACAGTGGTTTTGTAGCCAAATATTTCTGTGAACTCACTTTCTTAGTCAGTGGTCCTGCATGTGAAACAAATGCAATTTCATATGCATAGAATGTGTTGAATTCATTAGCAGAGGGTGCAACTGCCAGTTTTTGCTATAGCCTTTGGGTGATGTCACCTGTCTTTTATTGTCAAGTTCTTTTCATAGTGTGGGGAATATGGAGCTGAGACTCATGATGCAAAAATTTATTTGTTTTGACATCTCTTTCTCTGGATCTAACTCCTTGATAACTTGACATTATTGTTTCTAATATCTCTAAAGTTTAATTCAGTTCTAAAGGTATGTGTTATCTGAAGCAAATGCTGCAATTAGAGAGAGGAGAATCACTGTATAATAGCATTTGAGCTACAGGGATGAAAACTCTAAAACTATTCTGCCTTTTAAATATGAATGTCTAAATACTTTTCAGTTTCTGTTTGCTCCTCCTCCCCATGTTTTCTGCGGCAACTTTCGGTGCTGAAGTCCATAATCTTCACCATAATGATCAACATCAATGCTCTCCAATCAGAGTTTCTTTAGTTACCTCAAAAGAAAGCTAAATGTTCACCTTCAATAATAGCCAAGAATTGTTCTCTGTTTTACTAGGAAATCCCACAGAGTTAAAGAGAGCTATTTAATCTCCTGGAATATTATCTCTCCTGCTCAGAAAATACATTTAAACTCAGAAAATGTAAGTTAATGATATGACTAATGTAGTTAATAAGAAAGCTATTTAACTTGTGCACAAATAAATGTGGTCAAAGAAAGCAAATGTGTCGTTTTAATAGCTGTGGAATAGACTGTACTTTTTTAAATAGCCTCATTCTGGAGAAGTATTAAATTGCTATTCCAAGTCAGCCAGTAATTCACTTCAGAAAGAAGTAGTCTAGGTATTGAAAAGAATGGTAGGATGAAACATTCTTTAGAAGTTCTTGGTGAAAAGGGACCCATGGGGTGCTGGAGAAGGCTCATGCTTTAGTCACCTAAACCTCTGTTCCCTTATGCTGTGGTTCTACTCTTGATATCTTTGGCTTGTAAGTTTTAAATGACTTAATGGGAAGAGAGGCATGGCAGGGGAGGAGTGAAGGTCTACTGACTTCTGGTGGTTTTGCATCAAGCAAGAACTTCAAACAGATGTTTTCTTATAGTGCTCCCAATAGGAGTCACCTTAGAGGTCTCTCCTGGGCCCTCTTATCAGCAATCTCACCACTTGTTAAATTTGGGATCTAGTTTTAGGTACATATTTGAGATGGCCCAGGATCCTATTTACTCTATGCCTTGACCTCATCAGGATTAAGCTGATTTTTTTTTTTTTTTTTTGGACAGAAGAAAGGACAAGAACCAGAATAAACACACAAAAAGGACCTAAGATATTTACTTTCCAACAAATAAATTTTAAGTAGGAAGAAACAGTCTTAATTTAACCTCCCTGGATAGGTCTAAGGTGATTTAAGTTTGTTCTGCCCAGTCATGTACACAAAGTGAGGCTGCCACGCACATCTCTTTATATGACCTCACTTACATATCTTCATTTGTGAAAAGATTTGTACCATTTTGCATAATATGTTATAGAAATGTCTTTCCAAGCCTAAGAAGATATCAACGAGTAAATGTTTCAACTTTCCACATTTTAACTCTGCATTTTAGTTGCCTATTTCTAACAGCAGTTTTTAAAATTTCTTATTTAGGGATGGCCTTTGTGGATTAAATTTTCCCTATGACTAATGTTAGGGACAACACATATATTTATGATTTGACTGGACCATCCACCTACATCAAACTCTGTGTAATTGAAACGAAGAATTGACCATCCAATCAGGAAATCAAAATCTCTGAAAACACTGAGGGAGGAGTGGTTCTAGCAAAATGATGTTTTCTCATGTATGTTATTGAGCATGTGTATGTGTGTGTGTGTGCACTTGTCCATATGTATGTGAATTTGTTTTTGTCTGACTCCTACTTGACAATCCCTTTATCAAAGGAAAATCCATATAAATAAGCTGGCTGAACTGAGAATATTTAAAAGTCCAAAAACATTGGAAAATCCAAAACATGAGTTTGAACTTGGCTTCATTCCTTTAGAGATGTCTTTGATGTTTTCCTTATCATAAGTTAACAGTATACTTGCAATAAGCCAGTTAAAGCATGAGGTAATAAAACAGTGAGCTACTTACAAATGTATGTCCCTATAATTTAGTCATATACACAAATAATTATATGTAAGACAAAATTGGATAAATGTCAGAAAAAAAAAAAAAAGGTTTAAACAAAGTTTCAAGTGTGAATGGAGGAGAACAAATATGTTCATGCTGGAATATCAGGAGTGATTTCTATTTTCTCAGAGAAACAAGAGTAATAACATTTTGTAGTTAACTTAAATATCATGTAACACTTGTTAGTTGTGTGACATTAGGAAAATCACTTATCCTCTCTATGTAGAAACTAGGGCAACTCATAGAGCATACCTGAAAGAGCAATTGTAACAACTGAGTAAATTAACTTGTGAAAGTATTTAGCATAGTCCCTGAAAAACAGTAAATGTCTAATAGGGGTTAGCCTGTGCAGTTACTACTATATTGGTATTTTTATTTCCATCAAATTCTTGTATCTGTGATTGACTTCTGAATCCATCTATCTGGACATAGAAGAATAAATGAAAACTTTGATGTAATTCAGTTGGATGATGTCAAATTAAGAAGTACAGTCATCTTC